TTAGCACCCATCAAAGCAGTGGCAACAAACTATTCTAGTAGTCATTGTATTATTCCTTATTGCCATGTGCTTGCAATTAAGAAAAAAAAAAGCCAGTTTCATGTAAGAATTCCCTTGATAAAACACCACAAGTTGTTAGTTCTCAACCCTTGAGTACGCTCCTTTTTAATATTCTGTTAGGAAATGAGAAGTTCTCATAAAGCACATCTGCTCTATAACAAAGCACAATGGCTGGTTCAAGAAAAACAACCTGTGTAAGTATTTAAGTTGTGAACTAACCTAGATACTTTTTTTCTTTTTTGTTGTTTATTTAGATTTTTATTTAAATTCTAATTAGTTAACATTTAGTGTAATATTCATTTCAGTAGAATTTAGTGTTTCTTCACTTACCTCTAACCCCTTGTGCTTATCCTAACAATTACCCACCCATCACCCATTTAGACCATCCCCCACCTAGCTCCCTCCATCTACCCTGTTTGTTCTCTATTGTTGAATGTCTCATAGACATTTTCTTGATAGAACACCATGTTGTCCTGAAAAAACAGTGGCAAACTATGGTTATTTGGATTTGTGTCTTGGTGGACATTTTCACTTCACATTCTAGTTACTTTAAGGAAAAGAACACAGTAAGTGCTGCCAATTACAAACTCTAATCTTTCAATATAAATTAAAATACTGGAAACTCATATCCTGTACCATGTGCTTGTAAGCTTCCCAACACTTACATTTTTTTTAATCTAACTTCTAATACTATAAATACAAATGGATGTGATCCACATAAACAAAAGCTCTTTGAGTTTTTCTATAATTTTTAAGAATATAAGCGATCCTGAAAACAAAGTTTGAGAACTGATGATTTGTCGCAATCATTGTGTGATCCTCCTTGCTTTTCACAACCTAGGTGTTTCCATGGATATATTAATGGCAGAACTCACACAACTCTGAACTTATGCACTAAGAGGCTTCAGCCTCTTATTCATTTTTGCTGTACAACTATGGGTTGCTTTTAAGGTAAGGCAACTACAGCTGAGAACATTGCTTGGTGGCAGTGTGAGGTCTTGGTGCTTAGGAGAGAATAGGGATTTGCCACAAGATTGACCATCCTATAATGAATCTTTAAGGTTTCCAAGGCCAGACATCAACTGAAACCTCAAGGCTTTCTGACAAATTCTCAAAGGAATTACAAGTACTATTTGATTTACCGGAGAGTGTAAATATTGCATATCAAGAAATGCTTTTTGTGTTGGGGAGTTACTTCACACCCTAATCCCCTAACCCTGAAAATAAAGCTGCACATAGGAACAAAAAATATAAAAGTATATATATGTATGACATACATATGTACATATACATATATATAATTTTAATATATATAACTTTAAATATATATTAACTATATATAACTTTTAATATATATTAATACATATTAACTAAATATAACTAAATATATAACTATATATTATATATAATACATAATATAACTAAAATACACCATTTTAAATATGACTTATAAATATCTACATATTTACTTACCAGCTTTCACAAACTCATTGGAACAGGATGCCAGGAGATAAAAATATTCAGGAGTAATTTTCTGCAAGTAAACATAAATATTACCTATCTTTTTTTCTTAGAGATGCTGTAATGCAAGAGCCATTGAAAACTTCTGTCAAAATTTCACACATATTCTGGTTTCAAAACACATCTTGTTAGTTGATGTTAAATCAGTTTTGATTATATTTAAGGAGATTTTTAAACATCAAGAAAATTTCCCAAAAATGTTTCCTGATACATTTTCTCATTTTTATCTTCAATTTCTTACCAGTTCTGAGTAGTGTTTTAGTTGGAACTTTTTCTACTGCAGGTGCTAGAAATCTAAGTTAAACTAAACTGAAGAGGAAGAGGAATTAGCTAACAGAAAAACAGAGGCCCTTGATGTTAAACTCAATCACAGCTAGATCTAGGGTCTAGAGTCTTCAGGACTTTCTGTCTTCACGATTTGTCTCTACTTGGCTGCATTCTGCATAGAATCTCTTTCCACTTAAGACGGAGACCACAATCACGCCTCATCTTTTATTATCAGATTAGCAAATGAGGCAGAAAGAGAATTTCATTCTTCCCACATCCATAATCAATCTTTCTTCTTCCCTCCCTCCCTCTTTCTCTCCCATTTCCTCTCCCTCACCTCTCTCTCTTTCTCTTTCTCTCTCTCTCTCTCTTTCTCACACACAAACACACACACATGCACACACAGGTTGGCCATGACTGGATCATGTTTCCACTTCTGTGTGCTAAACCAAATAGTGTACTACGATTGGCCCAGCACTGGTCACATGCTGCCTTAGTCAAGGTTCTCCAGAGAAAGAGAACCACTAGGATATTTTATATATATAGATATATATATACATAGATATATATATATATATATCAGTCCAACTTCACAGACCTAAGAACCACAGGAGCTGATAGTGTAAATCTCAGTCCAGGAGCCAGAAAACCAATGTCCTGGCTCAAGCAAGAAGGCAAGACAGGAATGAACCCTCCTTTCTTCTGATTTTTGTTCCATTCAGGCCCTTAAAGGATTGGATGAAGCCCACCCATGTTGGGGGCGGGCAGTCTACTTCACTTGGATGTATGGCTTCAAATGCTAATCTCATCCAGAAACACCCTCACAGACACACTTAGAAGTAATGTTTAATCTCTGCATCCCTTGACTCAGTCAAGACGACACATAAAACTAATATATATGCCAACCCTGTAATGGTATGTGGATGTGTGAGACCCCATTAGAGAAATACCTCGAGGGCGAAATGGATTTGAGGAGAAACGGATCCACACACAAAAAAGATGCTAGCCAATAAAAAGAGCTCTCTGCTACAACCTACAGAATCGCTGTTTAACTGTACTCACTGCTCCCACAGCTGAGCATCTTACAAAGACAGTATAAAGTTTTCATAAATTAGCAGTGCTTGACATAATATTTTTCAGAATCATTACTTTGTAATTTTAAAAACTGTCTGAGCTCAGGCAGTGGAGTAAACGGACACTAGAAAATCAATCACCTCTCACTCCTCTGACCAAGGCTGACTATTCAAAAAACAGAAGACATTCAAATTGGCAATAATTAAATTATTATAAAAGTAGAAGGCTGAGTTAGACAATTTGCTGGATAACCTAGTTGGGAAGTCAACCAGAAAAGATAGGCAATGTGGATCTACTTAATAGGAATTGAGTTTTTCCTCCAGAAGCATTACAGACTAATGTTTTTAGACATTGGTATATAGTTAAAGGAAACTCACAACCATCTCTTGATTTTGTGAAAGGATTTCAAACTTAGATAGAGCTAGAGGATATGAATTGGAGAGTCTCATGCATGCACCATTGGGAAAACAAAAGCTGAAGAACTGAGAGACTTATTTCCCCATAAATGCGTGATTTACAAAAGACTCAAATGTATCTGCCATGAGATCCATAGATCTCACTGAACATCCATCAAGAATCTCTCCCGATCCCAGAACACCTGGGTGCCTCAGTCAGTTAAGTGGTTAAGTGCCTGCCTTTGGCTCCAGGGCCTGGGATGGAGCCCCGCATTTCGCTCTGTGCTCAGTGGGGAGCCTGCTTCTCCCTCTCCCTCTGCGTCACTCCCCCTGCTTGAGCTCTCTCTCCCTTTGCGTCAAATAAATAAATAAAATCTTAAAAACAACAACAACCACCACTAACTCTCCCTATCTTCAAGCCAATGAGCTTACTGGCTGGACTCCCACTTCTTTACACTCCTTGCCCATAAATACAAATCCCTGCAAACCCTCAAGGGATTCACCTATAGCTGGTTACAATTCATGCTTCCCAAATTGCAATTCCTCTGCTGTTCCAGAATAAACTCAATTTCAGGTCATTTGAGCTTTCCTCAGTTTACCTCTTTCTTTAGGTTGCCAATTTGTTCTCAAAATTCAAATCTACAAATCACAGAGGCCACTCACATGTCAAGGCCTCCAGCTAGAGTGGACACGGATGGTGGCGCCCCTTTACCCGCTCCCCATGGCCACTTCAGGGCAAGAAACTTGTTAAATTAATTACACAAGGAAGGCACGCAATAGGCAGCTTCAAAGTTGTGGCCGACTTCCTAAGCAAACCAAAATCTAAGTTTGTAAATGCCTGAAGGTTACAAAATTAAAACCTAAGTTCAACCAATCGCAAACAGCCAACTAGGCTTTCAGCTAGAGTTGATCAATCATTCCTTACCTTGCTTCTGCCTTTTCTCTATGAAAGTCTCTCCCCAGCTTCTGTCTGTGGCAAAGTGCCCCTGACTACTTTTCATTCGGCACTGCCGGTTTCCTGCTGATTTCTGCTCAGTCTTAAACTGTCTACCATGTGTCAGTTTATCTTTTACCAGGTCTTACTTCCACTCCACCTGGAACTGCATTCCCTCACCTGAGGGTTCTCTGTGGCCGCCTAAGCCCCCCACGCAGGCACGTGCAGAGCGCGGAGACGCGAACCGGGCACGTGGACCCGGAAGGTGATTGTGGTGACTGCGCGTGCGCTCCACTGTCTGCCCCGCGCACAGCCTGCCCACACTCCAGGTACCTGCAGGGGTGGCTGTCTGCATAGTTCACACTCCGCATGCCTCACTACCCATGTGTCCTTCCCCAGCCAAATGAACTACTCTTACTGAATCTGTGTCCCAGGACCTGCTTCTAAGAAAAGACACACACACAAAAAAAACACTTTAAAAGCCATGTCTTAAGAGGATTATCCATACTTTTCTTACACTTTAGTACACAGGACTTGCCCCCCACCAGCTTTACTGAGATATAATTGACAAATAAGAGTTGTATTTAAAATATACAATGTGATGATTTAATATGCATATATAACATATATAGATTGTAATTATATACATATACACATATATGTGTGTATATATATAGTTGTGAAATGATTACCACAATCAAGGTGGTTAATATATCCATCACCTCACATAGTCACCGTGTGTGTGTGTGTGTGTGTGTGTGTGTGTGTTGGAAACACTTAATATCTACTCTTGCAGCAAATTTCAAATATATAAAACAGTATTAGTAACTACAGTCACCACACTGTACATTAGATCCCCAGAACATACATATTTACCTTATAAACTGAAAGCTTGTAAAGAACACAGACCTTAGTCCACTAAAGTGCCACATCTCCAGCAGTCACTCTTCAGCTAAGTTTATTAACCTAGAAGACCTATGGCACAAAAATGAGAGGAAAGGGTCTATAAATATATGCACTTGATACCCGCATTTAGAGTCACCCTCACCCCCCCCAAAACAATGTGAAAGAATATAAAATAAAGTCAGATAAACCAAGTTTATCTGGCACTTTGTCCCAACCCTCAATCTTCCTGAGTTTAAACAAATAGATTAGAAGTCAATGGGTATGAGAGAGGGGAATGGGAGGAAAGAGGAAGCATTTAATAGATGGCCCCATCACTTATTATATGGTCCCAAACTGTCTTTCCATCACTTACTATATGGTCCCAAACTGCTGTGCTGCTTCATTTTCTGATCTCTTCTTTTGGTCTGTGCACTTTAATAAACCTGAAGGGCAACACCCCTTGGTGAACTGACGTGCGTAATTATCACCTGCACAAGGTGTAGATTATATTCTATTTGTTCTGCTTAAGATGGCAGGAAATTAAGCAATATATTTTGAAAGAATATCATTCACTTGGTTAAAAGGAAAAAGGCAGCTCTTGAAGGCGCTCAGAAAAATTACTCTAATAGATCTTTCCTCACAAAGTCAGAGAAGCTATTTATATTGTGCTCCTCCATTTCTTAATTAAGTATTTTAAAGGCAAGTTATAAAGCACTGCGTTTCATGTATACTAAGTATTTATTCAAGTCATGTTTGGCAAGTATGACACTAATTGAGCAATTTAAGAACAGAAGGTATTTTACTTACAATTGGTCATAGATATTGAGTATTAAATATAAGTACACAAACAAAAGCCTACAAGTATTGTATTCCTGACACAAATAATCACAGACTTTAAAATATCAATTTACCTTAGTAGTCCAAGCAGCTCATGAATATTCATTGCCAGGGTGGAAGTGAAATGAGTCAAGAGAACAATGTGTCCTTCGTCTTTTACCTCAGTTATCTTTACGTAATTCCTAATTTTGCAATGAGACATCTTGGAATATTGATTACTTTCTTAAAAGTCTACCAATTGCTTCGGGACATGCCAAAGATTCAGTCAAGTATTTAAGAAGTATACAGGAAAGAGAAGTTGCAGTAAATTTGTTATAAATCTTAACTTGCAAAGAGAATTATTTACTATGGAATAAGTAATTTTACTTTTTGGGAATTGGACAATTTCCAAAGCAGTAACACTCCCAAGACACTTCACACTTAAGAAAGAGGACATCTGGGTCACCTGGGTGACTCAGTCAGTTAAGCATCTGCCTTCAGCTCACGTCACGATCCCAGGGTCCTAGGATCAAGTCCTGCATCGGGCAACCTGCCCAGCAGAGTCTGCATCTCCCTCTCCCTCTGACCCCTGCTCATTTTCTCTCTTTCAAATAAATAAATAAAATCTTAAAAAAAAAAAAGAAGAAGAAAGAAAAGAGGACATTTCATCCAGTGTTGATAGCGGTAACTCCATGGATTCAGAGCAGCTGCACTTTCTCTCAACCCACCTCTGGATACAGTGGTGCAATGGTCACGCCACAACTGAAAACGGAGTGCCTCATGATGACGTAGCATTTTCTGACATTTTAAATTATATCAGTAGCCTTCCAAAAATGTACAGTTTCCCTCCAGGGAGTTTCTGACTATCTTTCCATCAGAAGATCATTGATTTACAGCTTGGTTGCCTAAGAACATATGTATATTGACCCCCCTAAAAGCAGAGATTGGAAGGAATGTAGAGCAAGCTGACTTAGTTATATGAGGATGGAGTCTTGTAGCCTCTGAATTTCAGCATGACTCCTCATTACCATGGCCATTTATTTATTGAACCTTTCTTTCTGTGGTTTCATCCATAGACGGATTATTCCACTGGATGATTCCCTCCAGTTTATATATATTCTCTTTTCACTGACTATTGCTTAGGATAACAGATTGTTACTATGATGGCTCTCACACAGATCAAGAGCTAAAGCCTTAGTATTGCCTCAACCTTCCAGTAAAGGACTAAATGTTCCCCTCCTTGAATGATAGTCATGGTGACTTCCTTGGCCTATGAATATAGACAGGAAAGCCCTAAATAAAATATTAGCAAATCAAAGCCAACAATATGTAAAAACAGTTAATGCACAGCAGCAAATATAGTCTTAGGTATTTACCCAAGAAAATGAAAACACATGTCCATAAAAAGACATATATGAACAATAATAACAGCCCAAACTGGAAAGAGCCCAAATGTCCACCCACAGGTGAACAAACATTGTACATTTACACAATGCAATGGCACTCAATAAAAAAAGGAACAAATTATACCGACAAACAAAAATATCGATGGCAGCGCCTGGGTGGCTCAGTGGATTAAGCCTCTGCCTTCGGCTCAGGCCATGATCTCAGGGTCCTGGGATCGAGCCCCACATTGGGCTGTCTGCTCAGCGAGGAGCCTGCTTCCCCCTCTCTCTGTCTGCCTCTCTGCCTACTTGTGATCTCTCTCTCTCTCTCTCTCTCTCTCTCTGTGTCAAATAAATAAATAAATAATCTTTAAAAAAATATATCATGGATGAATTTCACAAACATTCCCTTGGGTGAAAGTCGCCAGGGTAAAGGTGCATACTCTATGATTCCACTTATTTTAATTTCCAGAATAAGTTAAAAGTCATCTACAGCAATTAAAAAAAATCAGACCAGTGTTTTGTTGAGGTGAGGGCCCAGGAATGTTTAATTTGTTGGGAATACTACAACAAAAACACCATAGACTGGGTTACTTAAACAGTAAACATTTATTTCTCACAGTTCTGGAGGCTGGACATCCAAGATTAAAGTGTTGGTCAGTTCAGTAACTGGTGAGAGTCTGCTTCCTGGTTCATAAATTCGGGGATAAGATGTAAAACTTTTTATCATGTTATATCCTGCTGGCCAACCCTTCTTAAAAATGTATTTATCCTCCCAAGGGCTCCCAAAAATAAAGAGGGAGTCTATAACCTGAAGGTAAATGGGGTACTAATCAGACAAAAACAACAGTTTCCTATTTGGCTTTTCTAAAAGATTGGTAAATTTTTGGTACTTTGCTAAATTATACTTTGTTATGAAATTTAAGTGTTTCCTGATATGACATTCAAATCCTTAGTTCTGAACATTAAAATGATATCTCCTTATTTATAAAAAGCATGCTTCTTATAGATATAAATATTAAAATGACTTTATATTTACTGAGTTGTAGTTGCTCTATCTCATTTATGGAATCTTTCATCAGGTCCAGGTTACAAGTATTATATTGTACTCTTTCATTCCTCCTTTCTTGTTTTCATAAGAAAATTTCCCTAGATTCACAACACGATATAATTTTTATAAGTTATCCCAAAATTTAGTCTAAAAATATATATATGTATGTCTTCTCATTCCTTGTTTCTATCAATTAAGTGGCGAACAACAAAATCTACATAGGCTAGGTTAAGAGGAAAAAGAATTAATTAAAAGCTAGTGAGTAATTCACAGAAGCCAAGAGGGCTTGTGACCAGGCTTGGACGCTGAGCAGCCAGGAACAATGTCCAATACCCCGCAGGAACCACTACAGCTCAAACGCGGCTGCTGTCACTGGTCAGCCCCTCCACCATCACTTGCACAGATGGGGCCCAGCTCATGCTGCGTGATGCACAGGAGTGGATGCCGGAAACTCTGGCAGTAATGCTCCTAAAGAGCCCACCGCTTTTGTTGCCGCCCTTGCCAAATAACACATTCTGCATGCTTCCTTCCTCCCATTGCTCCCCTCCCAATCAAAGTCACAGGCAAGTTCATCTGATTGGTGGAACCCAGACCACACACCTGTACCCTTGCTGCAAGGGAATCTGGGAAAGCCAGCTTTCAGCTTCAACCTGAGGAAGGCAGCCTCATAAAATAGGATGTTTGCAAACATTAGGAGAGTGTTCAAAGGGTGCTGGGTGATCAGAAATGCCCACAATGACAAATGTCCACAATAAGCCCTCAAGGAGAGATTTCTCTCTGTTAGTGACTGCTTCCTCTATTTTACAGCTTAATACTCATCATCTGGAATGTAGAAATGATGACACCTGGCAAGTATTACACAGTATGCCACTTCATAGAAGAATACGGAACTAGAATTATGCAACTGTGCCTTATTTCATCATAACTCAAGTTCAGTGGGACTTCAGCTGGAATCCCAACTTGGAGGCAATAATGATATTTGTAGGCATGGAGAAAAATTTGCACAAATCATTCACTTGCTCCATTTTGTAACTCAAAAAGTACTACATACTGAGAAGCAGATTAAGCTCTTAGTTGATAGGTTAAGATGCTCTGACCATTT